CTGCTACGATAGTGATTGTCGCTGGTACGTAGAAAGTTTGTCACATTTGCATTGGATATTGGGTAACAATAACATTTGCATTTCCTTTCGTGAAATAAGTCTGTGAAGGAGTAAGAGTATTTTTTTATTATTTTAAGTTACAGAAATTGCCCACCTCTACCAAAATGAATGACTAATCATGGTTCTTCTAAGCATCACGACAATCACCATGGCAACTGGTCTCAACCTTACTCCAGCCACTTATTAACAAGTCATTGATGAATTAGTGTGTGTACTGAGTACTAACCAAATATTAGAAAATTGTAGTTTAAGGGTGAAAGAAATAAAACAACACTGATAACAACCAAACCACCACTCAGCGCGCAAACCAAATAATAGATCCTAGTAGTGTTCCCACATGTTTTTTACACCTTTGCTCTGTTGGCACGAGCATGATTTTGTCTGAACTTGTTTTGCTATCATTTCGTTTTCCTCTTTTTTCGCACAGTGCCACCCAGAATTATCGAAGAATTTTCCCCTTCCTCAGTGATATGTGAAAAGCAAAGTCCGTGTTTTCTCTCATGTCAAGCAACAAGTTATATTCCCTTTAACTACTCTTGGACGAAAGATGACCAGTTTCCAACTGGTGATGGCATCAAGTTCATGAATAACAGTATCATCGTCACGCCACAGAGTTCACATGATTATGGGGAGTATGTGTGTCACGCTACAAACAGCTTTGGGTCAACAGAGCTTAAAATCACTCTGCTTTCTCCTAAGGATAATGAAGATGATGGCGGTAAATGCCCTCAAAACGGTAAATATTCCTTAATATTCGAACGTGCTTAAATATTTTCTTCTCAAAAATTTTGGAAAGCTTAGAGCTTTGAAGTCCAGTGTGGAGTTTATGGGCTTCTAATTACAGTTGTTTGGTATAGCCATTTATGTATCAAAAGCAATAGTGTGTGGTGGTCTCATACGCCGACGTTTCTCGGTGTGAAGGTACATTTTCTTTCTTCAATTAGAAAGTTATAATAGTGTGCAATACAGGTAGATCATTCCATATATCATAATTGGCCTGTTCGATTGTAACTTAATCAAAACAGAGCTATATGCAATATAGTTGATAGCTGATAGTTAGTTTGAAAATCGTTTGTTTTCTTTCACCAGAAACACAAAGCATCTTCCTTGCTAGTGTAATCGTGCTGTCTTGTATTGTGGTCGTGTTGCTCATAATAATTTGTGGGCTGATATGGCAGCGGAGACGAGCTGTTCCCAATAAAAAGACACAGAGTGAAGAAATCACTGACTTTGATGGCGTCAAATCTTCACCTGATCAACAGCGACGTGATCAGCACGCTTCAGACCCGGACTTATATACGGAACTCAAACTCAGGCCTTCGAACCAAGAGTCTCATATTCCTACTGAGCATCAGTCGTTACAGGAAGAACCCGAGAACCCCGGATATTACAATGTGGCGTTTCAGAAAGAAAATGGCGAGAAACAAAATGAAGAAGTGTATGTGGAATTATGCTAATCTCACAACTAATTTTGTATCCTTCTAGTTCAGATTGTCCATCTTGTGTTATATGCTATGCTTAGTTATATGCGCATGTTGATTTGTTCTGTATGATCTAATGGAGGACAGACGCATAGATGGCGTCACCATTAACAATATCTTGCTTCTTCATTGTAAATACAAAGAGATTCCATGTTGCCGTGAATCTGTTCTGTAATAAGTCACAGAAGACGTCAAAATGTGCTAAAAAGAACAGTGCCAGACTCGACTGCGCTTCGTGTGCCACACTTAAGTTCTTACCACATTTTAACGTCATACATAACAGAACAGACACACGCCTACATGGAATCTAATTGGTAATTAGAAACGGTACTTCGGTTTGTGAAAGACTTTGTTCTTGTCTCGCGTAAAGAAGCACTTCGTAATTTGGCAATGAAATGCATACGTTTGACGTTTTCTCCTCGT